GTACACCTCAGTGGACAGCGTGCATTCTGAACATGAAATATGTCGGCTTGACTCACTGAAGTCCAAATGGAGGGGCTCAAACGCAATAGTCTTCAACAGCTGTGCTTAATAGCAAAAACAAATAAATAACAATTTTGAGTACCTGTCCACTGTAGTGACCATTATGCATTAAAGGGTTAAAGCAGACGCTTTGATGCTCCACCTGAGAGTAAATCTGTAAGGCTTGTCACCAGCGTTCAGACATCAATTCTGTTTGCTTCACAGCCAGACAGGACACGGGAAAAAATAAAAGATTTGACGGCATCTATCGGGTAGAAAACAGATAAATGCTTAACTTTAATGCTTAACAGTCATAAAAGTTGGCAGAAACAACTTGTGAAATACCAGATGTTATATTAATACATTTGGATTCCTCCTTTTTATATTACATAATAGGCTGCCTTTGTCACCGTTTTAAGAAAAATAAAAGACTAAACAGTAATCAAATATCACTAAACCAACAGGAAAGTGCTGTGTAGTACTGCCTACTGTGCAGATTCGCTTATAAGTAACTTTATTCATTGCGTAATAAAAAGAACAATGGGCACATTTTAGTATCAACAGCTATTTTCTTAGTAATTTTTTCATGACATTTGCATGTCATCCCTAAACACAAATCCACAAATGATCCACTGCATAAACTAAAGCAAAGGAGAAGCTAAAGAAATTAAGCTTTTAGTGATTTTTACTGTAATGCTGCTGCAACACCCTGTTTATGTGTGTCTTTACTGTAAGCCCAAGTCTTAATGTAATGTCAACACTTCTGTCATATTACAGTTAAAGGCCCCTATGTTCCATTTCACACCGATCAAAGTGATAACTGACCATGACAGCTGAGTGGAGCTGCATTTTTTTGCTCCCTGAGAGAACTGATGTAATAACTTCACTATTTCAGAGCAAAAAACACACATCAAAAGATTGTTTTCGCACATTTTATTGACATGGCAGCATTTATCATTTTGTGTATCCCATGGTGGTATCCTATGGGGAACTAGGCAGTTTTGGCTTGCTTTTAGTATTCGTTATTAATTCTCTGTGGTCAAACCAAAAGTGAAACGTTTCTCCTCACCATGCATTTGTCTTTTTAATACCTTAAGCTAACAGCTGAAATGCCTCCCCAGCCTTCCTTAGTGTCTACAGGAGCGGTCCATCACTAAATTAAACAAATCAACTGTGTTCATTATCTAAACCATGCAGGAAGATTGCTGGAAGCAGACTGCAGTGCCAGGTGAGTCAGCTCGATTTTTCCTAAGTCACAACTGAGCCGCCAGTCTGAAATTGCAAATAGAATATTTTGGCCACAGGGGGCGATAAGAGCTGGGTGGCCTTTCATTAACTCTGTAAATGATAAATTTAACACATACTGGCTCAAGAAAATGATTTAAAAATATGAAAAGTTGCAAAGAAACATCAAGCTTATGCAGAATTTATGCATTGGTCTTTCTTTCTTTACTTCTGAGAAATAACCTTTTCATTTGTTATTAACAGATGTGACACTTTTGCAAACTTGTCAAAATCTGGATCATTTATCTGCAGTGATAAAAACGTTAAAAGGGACATATTCTCATACTATGTCAAACTCACCTGTAGTGTTCAGCATCTTTTTGTGCTGACATGTGGGTCTCTGCTGCCTCTATAAACACTCCAAAAGTGAACCAAGTCAACTATGTTTCCTTTCAGTTGTTGGTTTTAGGAATAATGTGCCTAAAATATGCTTTTTCAAAAAGTCCCCATTCATTCGCCACTGCAAATGTATTGATTAAATAAGTGATAGAGCCCTGAAGCAGCTCATTCTGGAGGGTACTGAAACTGTCAAGACTAAAAACACTTAAAATCTCTTTGTATGAGACCTATCATAACTTTAAGGTCAGCTTTAAGCATTTTAATACATTTGCAGTGTTCTCTAGTCGGAATAAATGCCATGGGAAAGACATTTAACCCACCTTGCCTGCTGGTAGTGGTGGTGCCTCAGCAGCCTTGCCTCTGCCAGTGCGCTCAGGGGCAGCTGTGGCTACAAGCTAGCTCATCACCATCAGCGTGTGTGTGAATGGATGAATGATATACTGCAGTGTAATGCGCTATGAAGTCCTCTGACACTGAAAGGGACTACACAAGCGGGGGAAGCTGTGGTGCACCTGCTAGAGGATGGAGGAGTCAGCTGGTTCATTTCAATTCAAAAATACTTTATTAATCCCAGAAGGAAACTGATTGCTGTAGTAGCTCAGAATAATAATAATAATCAAGTCATCAAAGAGTTGTTGTATATTACAACGGCTGTTGGCAGGAAGGATGTCCAGTAGCGGTCAGTGTTGCAGCCAAACTGAAGAAGCCTCTGACTGAAGACACTCTTCCGTTGTCGGACAGTCTTGTGAAGAGAATGCTCAGGGTTGTCCATCATGTTCTTGATTCTCTGGAGAATCCTTCTCTGCATTATCTCCTCCAGCGGTTCCACAGTCGTCCCCAGAACAGAACCAGCCTTTTTTATTAGGCTGTTGAGCCTTTTCAGGTCCCTGCTTCTGATGCTGCTACCCCAACAGACGGTGGCTGAAGAGATTACACTCTCAACAACAGACTTGTAAGATCTGCAGCATCTTGCTACAGACACTGAAGGACCTAAGCGTCCTTGAAGGCTCGATGATGATCGACTTTGTTGTTGTGTCATCTGACCTGCGGCCGCATGTCTTGGACACTCGGGTGAAGAGAGGGGCGGAGCTGTCAACTGACCACTACCTGGTGGTGAGTTGGCTCAGATGGTGGGGGAGGATGCCGGTCAGACCAGGCAGGCCCAAACGTATCGCGAGGGTCTGCTGGGAACGTCTGGCAGAGTCTCCTGTCAGAAGGAGCTTCAACTCCCACCTCCGACAGAACTTCCAAAATGTTCCGGGGGAGGCGGGGGACATTGAGTCTGAATGGACCCTGTTCCATGCTCCATTGTTGAGGCGGCCGACTGGAGCTGTGGTCACAGGATCGTCGGTTCCTGTCGTGGTGGCAACCCCCGAACCTGCTGGTGGACACCGGCGGTTAGGGATGCTGTCAAGCTGAAGAAAGAGTCCTATCAGGTCTTTTTGGCCTGTGGGACTCCAGAGGCAGCTGACGGGTACCGGCGGTCCAAGCGGAACGTGGCTCGGGTGGTCGCCAAGGCAAAAACCCGGGCATGGGATGAGTTCGGTGAGACCATGGAGCAAGACTTCCATACGGCTTCGAGGAGATTCTGGTCCACCATCCGGCACCTCAGGGGGGAAAGCAGTGCGCTACCAACACTATCTATCGTGGGGACGGTGTGCTGCTGACCTCTACTCAGGACGTTGTGGATCGGTGGGCAGAATATTTCGAATTCCTCCTCAATCCCACCGACACGTCTTCCAGTGAGGAAGCAGAGTCTGGGGACTTTGGGTTGGCCTCTCAAATCTCTGGTGCTGAGGTCGCTGAGGTGGTTAAAAAGCTCCTCTGTGGCAAGGCTCCAGGGGTGGATGAGATCCACCCGGAGTTCCTTAAGGCTCTGGATGTTGTGGGGCTGTGTTGGCTGACGCGGCTCGGCAATATCACGTGGACATCGGGGCAGTCCCACTGGACTGGCAGACCGGGGTGGTGGTCCCTTATTTAAAAAGGGGGACAGCAGGGTGTGTTCCAACTACAGGGGGATCACACTCCTGAGCCTTCCTGGTAAGGTCTATTCAGGGTTCTGGAGAGGAGGGTCCGTCGGATTGCTGAACCTCAGATTCAGGAGGAGCAATGTGGTTTTGGTCCTGGCCGTGGAACACTGGACCTGCTCTATACCCCTAGGGGGATCCTGGAGGGTGTGTGGGAATTTGCCCAACCAGTCTACATGTGTTTTGTGGATTTGGAGAAGGCGTTTGACCGCGTCCCTCGGGGGGCCTGTGGGGGGTACTCCGGGAGTCTGGGGTACCAGGCCCTCTGATACGGGCTGTTAGGTCCCTGTATGACCGGTGTCAGAGCTTGGTCCGCATTGCCGGCAGTAAGTCGGGCTCGTTCCTAATGAGAGTTGGACTCTGCCAAGGCTGCCCTTTGTCACCGATTCTGTTCATGACCTTTATGGACAGGATTTCTAGGTGCAGCCAAGGTGTGGAGGGCATCCATCTTGGTGGCCTGAGGATCAGGTCTCTGCTTTTTGCAGATGATGTGGTCCTGTTGGCTTCATCAGAACGTGATCTTCAGCTTCTGCTGGAGCGGTTCACAGCCGAGTGTGAAGCAGCTGGGATGAGAATCAGCTCCTCTAAATCTGAGACCATGGTCTTGATTCGGAAAAGGGTAGAATGCCTTCTCCGGGTCAGGGATGAGGTCCTGCCCCAAGTGGAGGAGTTTAAGTATCTCGGGGTCTTGTTCACGAGTGAGGGAAAACTGGAGCGTGAGATCGATAGGTGGATTGGTGCTGCATCTGCAGTGATGCGGGCGTTGTACCGGTCTGTCGTGGTGAAGAGAGAGCTGAGTCAGAAGGCGAAGCTCTCGATTTACCGGTCGATCTACGTTCCTACCCTCACCTATGGTCATGAGCTTTAAGGTAGTGACCAAAAGAACCAGATCACGGATACAAGCCGCCAAGTGGCTCGGGCATCTGGTCAGGATGCCTCCTGGACGCCTCCCTGGTGAGGTTTTCCGGGCACGTCCAACCGGGAGGAGACCTAAAGGTAGACCCAGGACACGGTGAAGGGACTATGTCTCTCACCTGGCCAGGGAACGCCTTGGGATTCCCCCGGAGGAGCTGGCCCAAGTGGCTGGGGAGAGGGAAGTCTGGGCCTCTCGCCTTAGGCTAGTGCCCCCGCAACCCGACTCCAACCATCTAATTTCCCTCTGGGATTAATAAAGTATCTTTGAATTGAATTGAATAAGCGGATGAAAATGGATGGATGGATTGATTTTATTTTGTTACCCTACCAATTAAAGTATTTTTGCACTTGCATCCCTTGTGCTGTTTGAAAAAGGAACTCTTTTAACCAAGTTACCGGGCTGAAGGTAAACACCGGCCCGCTTCTGATCGTCTTTTTCATCTGTGCTGCTGAGTCGTCATCAATGGTTGATGTCTGGGGTCATGGAAAGAAGAGTGTAATGACTTGGGGTTTATTTGTGGGTGCTAGGAAATGAAACTAAACAAAAAATTAGTGTTAAAGAAGAAAGCCGTACCTCACTGACAAACAAGATGGGGAATACGGTTTTCTGGATGTACCTCATGTTTCTGAAGGATGGAGAAGAGGAACAAGGAGACTAGGGAAAACATCAAGCTCAGCACAAGAGCACAAAGTGTCAAGAGTTTAGCAAACTTACCTGAAGCCTGAGAACCTCTTCAGAAGGACATTGAGCTGCGTTCTCTTACAGGAGCGAATGGGAACCCCTAAAGTCTGAGAGATTCAGAGGAGATCCTTCCTTTACTTTTGCAATTATATCTTGATTGTATTTTATATTTATCTGTTAAAGGGGCCAAAGTTTTACTGTTACCCTTAATCTTTTCTTACAAATGTTCAAATAGACTAAAAAAACATGACATTTAACTCAGTTCAGGCTCCATTAACTAAATAATTCACAATAAATTATAAAAAAGATAAATAAATAAGTAAACTTGTGCCTATTGGATCAGAACACGAGCTCAAAGATCAACTCAGTTCTACTGTGAGATGATGTTAGAAGTGTTTGTGGTACCGGCTGCAGGTCCAGGTACGTCTCATGGTACTCCTTCTGCGGTTTGAGCCCATCCACAGTGTCGATGTACGCTTTGTCCGCCTGATAAAAGCGGGGGAAAGACATAACGATAGGAAGTCCTGGATGCAAACAAGACAAACACATGACTGAGGCATGTTCACAGCTTAAAGACCAAGTTCACTCTTTTTTTTCAACACATTTGCAGTGGTTTCTGGAACAAAGTACTGCATGAGTGTTGATCTCTGTGGGAAAAAAAGCTCTTGTGCTCCTGATTCAGGAGGTAGAAATGAGCCACAGCTAAGTTTATCTTCAGGCGATATTTCTGATCTTTGAATATCTCGCCTCAGCCGCGCGACTCCACCACGACTCCGCTCTGCACCGCTGATTTAAAAAAGAACAATACTGGTTTCTCGGTGAACATGGCCTTTAAAGCCTGGGGCACACAGAAGACAGACGCCCTGTATCACATCACACCCGCCGTCTTTTTAAAAGAAGCCCTTATAGTTACTGAGAGTGGCTACACGGGAATCGCAACGCCACGTCCCAGAAACGCCGGTCCGCGCCACGGTGCTGAAGATAGGCACCTGCTCTATTTCAAGCGCCGTGGCGCGGCTGTTTACGACATTTTGGAGTACTTAACAAAAGACATTATGACATGGAACGGCTCTACGGCTCAAACCCCTCTGCTAAAACATGAACGAGGAGCTTACAAATGCTACTTGATTACAATATTAATAACTTTAAAGTACTATTGATCTCAAAATATTCTAATAAATAGCGTACTTACATATTTTTAATGAATTAGAGTCTCACAAAACATGACGGCAAGTCTGATCATAAACAAAAAAGTCACTTTCCGCTTCCTGTTCTCATGTCCCACATGATGTTGTGACTATGGCGGTTCAGCGAGTCCTGTGTGACCATTTGGCTTCCCAAAACCGCGGCGCTTCCGTGGCACAGCGCATCTGCCTTCTGTGGGCCCCAGGCTTAAGACCATTTAAAATAAACAAGGGAAAGAAGAAACATATAAAAGAGGATATGCAAGATAACAGGATGCACCATCTAACTCATTAAGTAAACATACAGTTGTGTTTGTAAGTGATAGTGTGCAGATTGCATCGAGTCACTGGCTCTGCCGGTCCCATATTAAGCATGCATGTAGCGAAGGTGGAGAGGAAAACTCCCCTTTAACAGGAAGAAACCTCCAGCAGAACCTGGCTTAGTATGAACTGCCATCTGCCACAGCTGACTGGGGGTTTAAGAAGATGGAGCAGACGCAAAAAAATAAAACAAACAGATGAACTAAGAGTGCTTTCCAAGTTAAAGAGATCATAAAGTTAACAGAATATTTAAATGTTGGCTGTAGTTTGCCAGCTGATGCCCCCTCTAGGAAGGTATCACAGCCAAACAGGAAAGATTTTAAGATTTTCACTAAGATCTATAAAATAAAAAAAGTTTTATGCTTTAGTGAACGTAACTTTTCTAAATATCAGATATAATCTTGCACTGGAAAACACAAAAAGCTTTTGGATAAGATCATTACAATTATCCACAACAGAACAGTTTCCTATTTGTTAATAGGTAAAAATAATAATAATAATTCTGTTACTAACACTTAGTAGCTGCACTTAAGTAATTAACTTTAGTAAAGTTCAGTAAACAGGAAAGTAACCCTAACCCTGGGGTGTGAGAGAAGCCAGAGATGTGGGCGTAAAACAAAACAAAGGGAGGTTTATAAGATGAAAATACGCCCAGTGAGATTTAAAGCAACACCTTTTGCATGAACACAGTAGAAAGGAAAACATAACTGTCAAATAGAAAATAGAAAAATAAAAGTAACCATAACTAATTGTTCAGTGGATGGGGGTTGGAGAACTGTTCAAAGGCAGCTGGGGCGATGTATCTCCTTGTTTTAATAATATACTCAGTTAAACTTCTTAATATTGTTAACTGGTTGATGGAAGGAAAGTCATACCTTCTCGACAAACGCCAACTTTCAGCACCCCAGTGCCAAGACACATCTCCAGCATGCAGGCGACAGCATTGTTGAGGCTCATGAGCACGTCGGCAGGGGGAGCAAAGCGGTAAGCCCGAACTCCCTTCACCTCCACCTCCTTCATGTATGTCAGGTGGATTGAACTCAGAAGGAAAAACAACAAGTACTCCTTTAAATGGCAGCAAAACGTCTCATTAGTGACTCAGTCTAGATTGATCACCCCTGCTGCGTTTCATTGGTTGCCAGCCTTGTCGTAAGCTGTAACAGCACACGTCTTTTTGAACTGGTGAGTAAATGTCACTGCTGGTATTTCCTACCATAACCCTCAAAGGTAGTCATCCTACTCCCAGAATGCTTTGACTGTAAACAAATGTGACAAAAAGCACGTGTGTACCGGCAGAGCTCAGCTGCAAAGATGTACAGCAGCTCGTTCTTGTTGATAAGGGGGTGGAAGACCGCGCCGTCCATTCCGCTGATCACGCTGCTCTGGCTGGAGGGCCACCACGACATTTTCCTGTTGATCAGGGAGACCCAGGAATGTTATTGCTGGTACACCTTTGTGCGTATTTGTATTTGAAATTAGAATATCACATTAAAATGAAAAGAAATTATGACTTTAAAGTTCATTATTGTCTGTAATGTACTGATAAACATTAGACTTTCATATATATTAGATTCATTACACACATCTAAAGTAGTCCAAGCCTTTTAATGTTTCTAATATTGATGATTGTGGCGTACAGCTCATGAAAACCCAAAATTCCTGTCTCAAAGAATTAGCATATTTCATCCGACCAATAAAAGAAAAGTGTTTTCAATACCAAAAAAAGTCAACCCTCAAATAATTATGTTCAGTTATGCACTCAATACTTGGTCGGGAATCCTTTTGCAGAAATGACGGCTTCAGTGCGGTGTGGCATGGAGGCGATCAGCCTGTGGCACTGCTGAGGTGTTCTGGAGGCCCAGGATGCTTCGATAGCGGCCTTAAGCTCATCCAGAGTGTTGGGTCTTGTGTCTCTCCACAATATCCCACAGGTTCTCTACGGGGTTCAGGTCAGGAGAGTTGGCAGGAGCACAGTAATACCATGGTCAGTAAAGCATTTACCAGTGGTGTTGGCACTGTGAGCAGGCGCCAGGTCGTGCTGAAAAATGAAATCTTCATCTCCATAAATCTTTTCAGCAGATGGAAGCATGAAGTGCTCCAACATCTCCTGATAGCTAGCTGCATGGACCCTGCCCTTGATAAAACACAGTGGACCAACACCAGCAGCTGACATGGCGCCCCAGACCATCACTGACTGTGGGTACTTGACACTGGACTTCAGGCATGTTGGCATTTCCCTCTGCCCAGTCTTCCTCCAGACTCTGGCACCTTGATTTCTGAATGACGTGCAGAATTTGCTTTCATCCAAAAAAAGTACCTTGGACCACTGAGCAACAGTCCAGTGCTGCTTCTCTGTAGCCCAGGTCAGGCGCTTCTGCCGCTGTTTCTGGTTCACAAGTGGCTTGACCTGGGGAATGCGGCACCTGTAGCCCATTTCCTGCACACGCCTGTACACGGTGGCTCTGGATGTTTCTACTCCAGACTCAGTCCACTGCTTCCGCAGGTCCCCCAAGGTCTGGAATCGGTCCTTCTCCACAATCTTCCTCAGGGTCCGGTCACCTCTTCTCGTTGTGCAGCGCTTTCTGCCACACTTGTTCCTTCCCACAGACTTCCCACCGAGGTGCCTTGATACAGCACTCTGGGAACAGCCTATTCGTTCAGGAATGTCTTTCTGTGTCTTAGCCTCTTGCTTGAGGGTGTCAATGATGGCCTTCTGGACAGCAGTCAGGTCAGCAGTCTTACCCATGATTGCGGTTTTGAGTAATGAACCAAAAGTCTCAGGAATCTTTTGCAGGTGTTTAGAGTTAATTAGTTGATGCAGATGATTAGGTTAATAGCTCGTTTAGAGAACCTTTTCATGATATGCTAATTTTTTGAGATAGGAATTTGGGGTTTTCATGAGCTGTACGCCAACATCATCAATATTAGAAACAAAAAAAGGCTTGAACTACTTCAGTTGTGTGTAATGAATCTAATATATATGAAAGTCTAATGTTTATCAGTACATTACAGACAATAATGAACTTCATCACAATATGTTAATTTTTTTAAAGGACCTGTATAGTGAGGGACCACTGTACTTGAGATAGGAAAACTACTTTCAACCATCTAAAGTATACTTTAGCTCACTTAGGGTATCCAAATATTTATTTTGCAATGCTGCTCTGGTTAAAACCAGAGAGCAAAGGCTTACCTCTTGGACTTTTGGATGCAAGTTTTGCAACAAAAGTAAACGGGGTTATCATGTAAAGTGGGAAAAGGGAGCAACATGCTGACAAAAAAGTGTCCTCTGAGCTCAACAGTTGGTGTTGGCTGATGTGAAACTTTACCTCAGGCTATTCCATGTTTCAATCTTCTCATTACTCCCAAGTCCCTCTTTGTAAAGGCTGTTTTTCTGTGCAAAAACAGGTAAAGTAGCCTTGATGACAAGCAGTTCAGAAAACAGTGGAAACACAAAATGCTAGAAACTGTGTTGAAAATAAGATGTAAAACAGGATATGTTTCACTTTTTGTTAATCATCTAATATAAAGTTGCACTTTAGGATAATGAGGATGATTACTCTTACTTAATGACAAGCTGCTGATGTTGGTCTAGTAACGGATGCATGACTGCGTTCCATCAGCACTTCAATGACTTTACCACCAACTTCCCTTTTCTTTGTTGTTCTGGCAACCTCTCAAACATCAGCACAGAAACAACAACCTCACCTTCCACATCAGCCCAAAATATTCGTCCACTTCGGGTTGCAAAGAGTGGATCTTCGTTAGAAGAGGGTCTTTAAAGCCCCACAGGATCTCATGGACAGTGCGGGTCATGAACAGGCTGACATTCAGGCTGTCCACAAACATACAGACCACAGTTCGCAGAATAAAGGAAAAGGTTTCCATGTCATTCATCAAAGCCTTACGAAGACAAACCGAGAAGGAGAAAATTGGTCAAATGGATCAGACATAAGCCGGTCAAACCAAAGAGCAATGCAGTGCAGACACACTGTCTCACCACAAGTGGGATGTTGATGGTCCTGACGAGGTCAACTTCAGGGTTACCAGCAGACTTCTCGGGCTCAAAGACAAATGTTTTGGGGTTCAGGGCATAAACTTTGGTTCCGTTTTCCAGGAAAGTTACATTTTCTTGTGCTCTGAAGAGGACCAAACGTCGCTCAGTTAGTTCAGACAAAAACAAAACTGAATCCTCCTAAAATGCTCAAATCTTTGCTTTTTCCGTAACTATTTGTCTCTTTTACACCACAAAGGTAAAAACTTACCTGTAAGTATAAGGTCCAATCTGTTGAACAGATGCCTTCCCTCCTGCCAACAACACTTCGGGATTGGTAACGTTGAAGAAGTAAAACTCCATGTAAACTGGTGGAGGGGGGTTCGTCCATGCTTGAAAGACTTGGCTCTTGTCCTGTCATCCAAAGAATAGTAAACAACCTTGTTCATTTAGAAAAACGTCAAATCAAATCTCCCAAATATGTTTTTTAACTCTGAAAAAGCAGTTTGTTTTCTCAGTTTCAGGCACTTCCAAAGCCTATCCTTTCTGAACAAGTTCTCCATCAGTGAACACACGTTGCTTGCTGCACTTTCAGGGTGAGCCGGCTGGCCAAGCCCCCAAAAACCCAAAGAGAAGCAGAGGGAAAATGTCCTTCAGAGGAGGAACGTCAGGACAGGCAGCATGTCTAAGCAAAAAGGAGTCTGACTTGAGGAAGCTTGAACAAGAATCCTGGGGAAAAAAAAAAACATTTTCTTTTGGCACAGGAGGACATTCATATATGTGTGTAATGATGGGAGAATATTGCAGTCATGGAAAGGCAAAATTGGACTGCCTGAAACCCCTTGAGTAGAGAGGTGCACTTGAAAGGATCCATGCATTGTTTTCTGTGGGCCTTTAAGCACTAATATAGGATAGGGTGTGCGTGAAGCTTCCTGCTTTGGTCACCATTTCCAACATTCAGCGTTTTACCTAATAGAGTTTTGTTGTTCTCCAAGTTCAGCTTCAGCATCTTCTCTTGCACAAAGATGTTGGATTGATATTTAAAAAGAAGAAAAATAGACTAAATCTGGGGGGTTAGTTAGTTTGTTTCCCAAAAACACAAATAATGTAAAAAGGAACTAGAGGTGTCTGAAGGAGTACAGGTCTCCAGGGCTTTGTAGGAATCTGCTACTTAATTAAGAAAGAAGTGAAACCAGAACATGCACAAAGAAGGTATGACCATCATTTCAACTGGAACAAATGAACAAAGCAGTTTGTTTTTTGGTAACTAATTACAATCTGTCACTCTGAAACAACAACAGCTTTTTAGAGACCAAACGTTTGACTGCAGCATGCGTGAACTCCTGTTTTTGCCAGTCGTGAGCAAAGGTCTTCTGAAAAGTCCTGAAGCCAAGTTAAATAACATTTGTCCCAGAAAATGACTTAAAAACAGTGTTGAAAGTGCTAAATCAGCCTTAGACAAACAACAGTTTAATGTTTGGTATTAAAAATACAAGAAAATAATTAATTTTCTAAAAGTATACAATAATAAAATAACATGCCAATGTTTGTTGTAAAAAAGAAAAAACACATTTATTTTACCTATACCTAAAAAGTATAGTTTTCAATTGAAGCAGATTAATCCAAAGGATTTAGACCAGAGGGGTTTAAATGAGTGAGTGTTTTGTTTCTTTTGTTTTTCTTTTCTGCCACTTGATCTGAAGGCTTGGGCTTGGCCCAAGCAGGAAGAACAAGGAATTAGGCGACTGCAGTCTGGCACAAAGGATGCCCTTAAGGCCAAGAAATCAGTCCTCACATGACTTCGTGCTACTTCCCTTCAAACTCGACTCACGACACAACGTTGGTGTCTTGGAGGTAGCTTCACCCAAGTCCACATTGATGCGGACTTGGGTGAAGTGCGGATCAAGGGTGCAAAAGGGGCGTGATCAACTTGCACACTTGAGAATCGGGACACCATACGCACTTGCACCCTTGGTCGGGATCGCGCAATTGAAGGGCGCAAGGATGGAAGTGCGATTATTGGGATTGGGCCTGGGTTTCCTGCACAGAAAGGGGTAGATTACTTACGTTTTTAAAAAATGGGAATCACGTGAAATGTTGTCATGAGCCGCAGCTCTCAGACTCCCCTGAGAGCAAAGAAGTCCTCATTCTCCTCAGTGTGGGAGTTTCAGGGATTTTAACCAGCAATGATGCGTTCCTGTGTGTTATTACAGCAAACAACATCCAATGTGCGCAATGCGTACTATAAAAAACGCTGATTTGCATTAATAAACGCATATGACGGAGAGCATGGGCTGCATGATGGTGCAGTTGCTAGCGCTGTTGCCTCGCAGCACGGCTGCGGCCTTTCTGCATGGAGGTGCGTGTTCTCCCCATGCATGCGTGGGTTTCCTCCGGGTACTCCGGTTTCCCCCACAGATCACAACATGCCCTATAGGTTATAAACTGTAAGTCGCTTTGGATGAAAGCGTCTGCTAAATAAATAAACATAAACATGAACCCCACTCATGTGACAGCAGATGGACACAAAAACATTAACATTAATAAAATCGTTCCAGTTTTAGGTAGATGAAGTTTATTCCAATCAATCAATCAATCAATCAAAGCTTTATTTATATAGCGCCTTCCGCAACCCTGTCAGGAAGCCCAAAGCGCTGAAGCTATTCCCATACCCTTTTCAGCCGGCTTGTTTGGAAGGCTTGAGCCACCAACAACAGGTGAACGCAGACGATGCCAGGGACGTAAATGGCACAGGATCTCCGAGTCATGATGCAAAAAAACTTCACTGAAGTCGACCACAACTTTCCAAAGAAATACGCAGCAGCAGCAGTTAGGGTTACTTTTATAAATGTTGGCACTCCTAAAAAGTAAAAAAGGGGAAAACTAAAGTCCCGCAAACAGATGAGATAGAGGGAAGGAGGGAGCTGACTGGACTGGAGGCGTAGGTGAAATGAAGCAGCAGCTGCAGGTGCGGAACCATCATCGGAAGCAAAGGGAACACTTTTTGTAGTGTTTCATCATCCTCCTGCACGTGTGTGTGCGTGCGTGCGTGCGTGCGTGTGTGTGTGTGTGTGTGTGTGTGTGTGTGTGTGTGTGTGTGTGTGTGTGTGTGTGTGTGTGTGTGTGTGTGTGTGTGTGTGTGTGTGTGTGTGTGTGTGTGTGTGTGTGTGTGTGTGTGTGTGTGTGTGTGTGTGTGTGTGTCTGCTCTGTCTTCTCCATCCCCAGTGAGTCGTGGAGGATGGCTGCTTATACTGAGCCGGGATTCTCTGGAGGCTTCTTCCTGTTAAAAGGGAGTTTTCCTCTCCACTGTCGCTTTATGCTTGCTTAGTATGAGGATTGCTGTAAAGTCACTGACACTAGTCAGTGACTTGATGCAATTTGCTGGGTTCCTTATATAGGAAACATTATTTCTGATTGGCTTAATGAATTGACCTGGATTGGAATGTTTATTATGTGAAGTGCCTTGAGACGACTCTTGTCGTGATTTGGTGCTATATAAATAAACTTGAATTGAATTGAATTGAACCATCCAGCAGAACCCGACACCGAACCATTAACATTCCAAGTTGAGTGAAGCCTCGTTGGTAGACAGCATCAGACAAGCTGCATACAAGTGACTCCAAGTCAGAACACCTTGATATTAAAGGCAGGAAATGCATGCATTTCCAATTGAAATGCTGGAAACGCACAACACACGTATAAAATACATTACATCCTGCAATGATTGCCCCTCTCTCAGCTGCTTTTTAGCAGCAAGGTGTAAAAAACGCTCATCAGATGAGGTTGAAACAATTATTTAAATTTCATAATAATTTTAATGGAAACCAGGCGTACAAATGTGATTTTGTGCGCGCTGAATATTTAGCAGTTATTGCAGATAATCTGACAAAAAGACGTCTGTAAATTGGTTCGGGGCAGTAACCCCCAAACTGGAGGAGTGGCTAAAGCAGATCCCAGGAAAAACATCAAACGTCTCAGTCCAGAAAAGTGCAGCTCTAGGAACAGCTAAGATACTGCAGAACCCTCAAGCTCCCAGGCCTCTGGTAGAGGACCCGAGCTTGGAAGGATACACACACACACACACACACACACATATATTATACACATGTATACATACACACACATTTGTATGTGTGTGTATATATATGTATATATATATATATATATATACATACATATATATATATATACATACATACATATATATATATATATATATATATATATACATACATATATATATATATATATATATATATGTATGTATATATATATATATATACATACATATATATATATATATATATATATATGTATGTATATATATCTGTGTGTGTCGGGGAAGAGGTCCTACCTCAAGTGGAGGAGTTTAAGTATCTCGGGGTCTTGTTCACGAGTGAGGGTAGGAGGGATCGGGAGATCGACAGGCGGATTGGTTCGGCGTCTGCAGTGATGCGGACGCTGAACCAATCTGTCGTGGTGAAGATGGAGCTGAGCCAGAAATCCAAGCTCTCGATTTACCGGTCGATCTACATCCCAATCCTCACCTATGGTCATGAGCTTTGGGTAATGACCGAAAGAACGAGATCGCGGATACAAGCGGCCGAAATGAGTTTCCTCCGTAGGGTGGCCGGGCTCAGCCTTAGAGATAGGGTGAGGAGCTCGGACATTCGGGAGGGACTCGGAGTAGAACCGCTGCTCCTCCAGATCGAAAGGAGTCAATTGAGGTGGTTTGGGCATCTGGACGCCTCCCCGGGGAGGTGTTTTGGGCATGTCCTGCTGGCAGGAGGCCCCCGGGTCGACCCAGGACACGTTGGAGAGGTTACATCTCCAATCTGGTCCGGGAACGCCTTGGGGTCCTGCCGGAGGAGCTGGTGGAGAAGGCCGGGGAGAGGACGGTCTGGAGCTCCCTAGTTGGGATGCTGCCCCCGCGACCCGGACCCGGATAAGCGGAGGAAGACGATCTGTGTGTGTGTGTGTGTTCTAATTTTGCTCCTTCCGATGTTTCACCAGTACTCCCCTCTTTGCTCGAAAAACACTGTGTAAATCTACAGTGAAATAAATAATGAAAATATAGATATTACAACTCTAAAAATGTACACACAAATTAAATACTCAAGCATAACATGAATGCTTATGTTTTATTTTTCATAACAATAAACACACTTATATGTTTAGATAATATATGTTGTTAAATTATCAATAAAATTATCTATTTTTGTACTTACTTACAAAATTTATGACAGAAAAGAAACTCATTTTGCAGTAAAATGTATGAATTTGTCAATTTAAATGAAGACTTTTACACATATGCACATTTTTTAATCAGAAAGTTATTAGAAAAAGTAGAAACATTGAACCTGGGAAATAATTTTCATATTTAAATTTAATTCATTGTTGAGTACTGTACTCAGTGGGTAAAACGTTTTCGTTCCTCGGTTTAAAATGCACTGCAGATGCATGAGATAGTTGAGGGATGAGGAAAGTTTAATGGTACATTAAGTTAAACCGTTTCTTTTGTGAGCAATATGCATCTCTGTCCCTTCACTAAAACATTTCAATTTATTGAGAATGTAGAGATGTGCACGTGTCAATATTAAATGTTCTTAGACTTAAAATAATTATATATTTGGTCTGAAAACAAACACATTTTGTGGCTCGTCTCAAACGCCGTTTGGTTCCATAAAGGTTCATAAACATGCTCTTGTTTTCTGTAGCAGCACCGAGCATCACATCACACGGTTCCCCCTTTAAAACAACTCCGCCCTGAAATCAGTCGATGAAACTCTACATCACTCTCACCACCGTCTGACCAATCCGCGCTCACGGGGGGTGGTCTTAAGACGGTGGTCCGTGAGGGCAGCAGCCAATCACAGCGCCGGCTCACCAAACAAAGGTCTCACGTCAACGACTGTTGGTCGTTTGAATGCGACATTATTCATGTGCGCGTGGCGCTTATTTAAGGAGTCCTGAGGAGAGTTAGCGGTTCTGTCTTATAAAAGCTAACGGAAAGTCGCTGTGTGCACACTTCCTGAGTCAGTGGGGAAAGAGGAGGCATTTAGCTGTTCAACAAGAGAAAATACAAACTTAAGTCCCTTCAGTGCAGTCAAACAGTGTCGGTAAGCGCAGTAAAGCAGCGGGACACTATCGCCGGTGTGTCCGTGCTGCTGCTTGTCCACACCGTGGATGAATTGCAGACCGTCATAATAAGTCATATAACACAAAATTATGCTCACGTGAGTTCTTCGGAGTCAGATAAAACTGAAAACCGTGAAATGCTCATTTTTTAATGTGAGCAGTCCGACGTCGGCTGTTATATGATTATTGTAAAGCGTGTATGAAAATCGCTAACACTGACTTTTATGGCTCACACCCACCGCCCATGCAGCCTCCCCCAACACGTCGCTTTCCGCCTCACCGGCTTCATTATGCCAAGAGGAAGGGGAGGAGGTGGGCCGCTCTTCTACCTCCCCAAGTGCTGAGAGCCGCTGTTTCAGTTCACCCCCGCCTCCGAGCAGCTCGCTCCTCCGGATCCTCAGCTTCAGGGGAACATAGACTTCATTTTCTTTTCCTGGTGTTACTCTCTGCCTCGCCGGGAGGACCAGCTAACCCGGTGACGAGTGAAGTTTAAACACCCCCTAGCTGCTGCTGCTGCTCTGGAGACGGCGGACCGAGGTCTCAAGCTCCCACATTTCTCCCTCTTTATCTTTGAATATTCGTTCATTTTTGGAGGAGTTCTGCTCGACTTCAGTGAAGTTTTTTCGGCAGCATGACTCGGAGATCCTGTGCCATTTACGCCACCGGCATCGTCTGCGCTCACCTCCTGATAGTGGGGATCGCCCTGGTTTTGGCTCAAGTCTTCCAAACAATGATCCAGAGCCGGCTAAAAAAGGTAAGCGAGCCCTCGTTAACCTGAAACCGCGACGATTTGTATTCAGGTCCGTGTTTTTGTGTCACATCGGGACCTTTAAACGTGGAGACGTCGCATCCGCAGCGTTAGACCGGGTCACCACCATCCTGTCTGCATTTGGGTAAATTAACGCAAATGAGCGTGTTTTTTATTATTATTATGCGCAACCATTACGCATTTAATGTTAAACATCTATGATTCGTGTTTATTGTGCATGACATAATTTATTTTCACAACACACTAAATAAAATCCCCTGAACTCCCACACTGGAGGGTGATCTGATTGCTCTCAGGTGAGTCTGTCTCATGACCTTACCTTGTTCGATGACGTTTCAACAAAGCTGCAGCTCATTTGATAACTGACAAAACTTTGCGTGATTTTTAGCTTCTTTTTTAATGCAGTAGAATTGAAGCAGTCTGATCATTTTAGTGCACAAGAGCCAGTGGCTCGTTTCTTAGGTTAGATGTTCACTTTTCTTGTTTCCCAGGGTAATATTACAGGAGGTGGTGGTAGAAATCTGGGTTGGGGGAGGTGTGTGGCTTTGGGGGAAGGGAATGTGGGTGGGCAGGCAGGCAAATCTGGAGTCTCTGATGGATCTTTAGCAGGAGATCATCCAACTTTTAGAAAATCAAGTTATCAGCAGCTACATCCGCATCAATTTCATCCGTTTCCATTGAAAATGCTGCTGTTTTGTCTTCTGTAAGATTTGTTTTCAACTGTGACTCAGTATTTGGGTATGTTTTCCCAGTGGGTCAGTCGGAATGCTGTCTGTCTGTTTGGGATGTGTTGGGGTGACGGAGTGGTGGTGGTGGCCCAGTGGGGTGTGGTTGTTGGCAGCAGACACCCTCTCACATCCTCCGCATCCACTTGCCTGCCTTAGTCTCAACTTATTTGCTGGATTGTCACCTTTTTTCTGCTTTTTCACAAAGTTAAGTTGAAAAATCAGAAGTAGGAGCAGCGCAGAATCCCAACAGCCGTCCAGGTTTGAAATCCCACCAACAGCTGCCCGACTGACACATCGGGTTAAGTTTAGGTCGGAATCAGGGCAGCATCCCCTGAGTTGGAGGAAGTTTATCACCGGGGATCTGACTCTGATGCAACTGGCGATTACATGAAATGACAGCACAGCTAATCCTCTTTGCTTCAGCCCTTCCATTGAAGGCTGGCCCGGGTGTGCTGAACCAGTTAAACCTGACGATACGAGCCGAACCAAAAGCTTCGCCAGGACACCGACTTCTTGTTGTGAGTCGATTGTGATGGGAAGTAGCACGAAGTCATGTGAGGGCTGATTTCTTGGCCTTAAGGGCATCATTTGTGCCCGACTGCAGTCGCCTAATTCCTTGTTTTTCCTGCTTCGGCCAAGCCCAACTCGTTCAGTTCAAGTGACAAAAAAGAGAAAGAATGACGTCCACTCTCCACTCTCCACAGGCATGTTTGCAAATGAAGGCTTTTCCCTCGGGTCCAAATCCTCAGGAGAACAAGGTCACTCATTTAAAATCAGCTTCAATTCAAAACTGTTTAGGTATTTTTAGGCCAAATGAACCTTTAAGATGGTTTTTTGGTCTGATTCAGCATTTTTAACAGTTTTTAAGTTTGTTTTTGGAAATAAGACCTTTTCTGGGACAAATGTTCTTTAACTTGACCTCAGGCCTCTCTAAAAGACCTCTGTTCAAGGCTGACATGCTGCAGTCAGACGTGCTGCTGCTGTTTCCAAGTGAAAGACCAGTAAAGAGCCGCTCGGATCATTTGTCCCAGAGTAAACGATGGTCGCCATACCGTCCCTGTACATCATCTGGTTTCATTTCAGTTTTTAATTAAGAAACAGACTCATCGAAACCCCAGAGACCCGGGCTTCTTTAAACACCTCTAGTTTTTTTAGGAGTTCTGTATAGCGCTGGCGCCAAACCGAAACCCTTTCTTTGTACGTATCGCCTAACCCTACTGATGTTCTGTAAGAGGGGAAAGGAAGATGCTGCAGCTAGACTGAAAAACAAACAGTTGGAAACGCTGAATGCTAGAAGTGGTGACTAAAACAGGAAGCTTCAGGCACACCCTAGCCTATATGTTGTCTATTGTAAGTGGTTGTAAAAGCCCACAGAAGGGTTAGGGTTAGGATCCTTTCCAAGAGCTCCGCTCTGTGCTCCAGGGTTTTCAGGAAGTCCACCTTAAAGACCGCCTTAAAGGAAGTGAGGTGGTTTTTTTTAACTTCCTGTATTTAAAAATGTCCCCAAGAGTTCGAGGTGTCTTTCAGGTGGATAAACCAACACCTTGACGTGACCTTCTGTAAAGTCCGCTGAAGCTGACCGCTCAAGTTTTAATTCCTGTCCAGACATGAAACCAACCGCCCTAAATGTTGAATTCACTATTTAATTTATAGGCTCGTTTCTGTTGAAGTACTCAAAACAACCTTTTCTCACCATTCTGCACGTTTGTCACTGTCCTCACACGACTAAATGAATGCTTTTATTCTGTTGTTGCGCTGTGTTGGGTTGGGGTTAGTGACTGTTAGCATGTGACTGGAAACCAGTCGGGGTTCTTGTTCGGGCCTGTTGACGTCGGACTGCTTTTTCCTTAGTTTTGCTGCCTGTTCCGACTGTTTTTCTGCTCTGAAGGACCTTTCTTCTCTGCTTCCCTTCGGGTTTTTGAGGCCTTGGCCTGGGACCAGCTGCTTCTAAAAGTGCCATGTGTGCTCGCTGATGGAAATCTCAAACGTGCTCCAATCTGAGAAAACAAACACTTTTGCATCACTTTCAAATGAAAAAAGGGTTTGGGGAAATTCTTTGATGTTTTTCAGTCCTGGTGGCTTTTTATTCTTTGGTTGACAGGAAATTACGTTGACGGAGAAGAGCCAAGTCTTTGAAGCATGGAAGAACCCCCCTCCACCAGTTTACATGGAGTATTACTTCTTCAACGTCACCAATCCAGAAGTGTTCTTGGCAGGAGGGAAGGCATCTGTTCAGCAGATCGGCCCGTATACTTACAGGTACGTTTTTACCTTTTGGTGTGAACGGCGAAGAGTTGATGGAAAATCGAAGATTAGGGCATTTTAAGAGGATCTGTTTTTGTTTTTGTCTGAACTGAGCCGTGTTCTGTCCTCTGCAGGGAATACAGGCCACGAGAAAACGTAACGTTCCTGGAAAACGGCACCAAAGTTTACGCCCTGAACCCCAAAACCTTTGTCTTTGTGCCCGAGAAGTCTGCTGGTAACCCTGAGGTTGACCTCGTCAGGACCGTCAACATCCCACTTGTGGTGAGGCCGAGTGTCTGCTCTGCATTGCTCTTCGGTTTGACCGTCGGATTTAAATTCCTCACACCGTGACACGACGTCTGATCCGACTGACCAATGTTCTCGTTCTGGTTGTCTCCGTTAGGCGGTGATGAACGAGCTGAATTCCTACTCCTTTTTGCTGCGTAGTGTAGTTTCTTTCTACCTGAGCGGCTTGGGCGTTGACCTGTTCATGACCCGCACTGTCCATGAGATCCTGTGGGGCTTTAAAGACCCTCTCCTAACGAAGATCCACTCTTTGAAACCCGAAGTGGACGAATATTTTGGGCTGATGTGGAAGGTGAGGTTGTTGTTTGTGTGCTGATGTTTGAGAGGTTGCCAGAACAACAACGAAAAGGGAAGTTGGTGGTGAAGTCATCGAAGTGCTGATGGAACGCAGTCATGCATCCGTTTCCAGACCAACATCAGCAGCTTGTCAGACTGTTGAGTAATCGTTCTCATGATCCTGACGTGCAACTTTTATATCGAATAATGCAAACAAATGTGAAAAAGACCCTGTTTTCTATCCTTTTCACATAATTTGCTCCGATACTTTAGATGGTGAGTCCTTTAGGATTTGGGAATGTTAAAGTCCCTCATCTCCAACAGCTGATGTGAAAACCTTGTTATTTTACACTAAAGGCTACTTTAGGACAAATGCTGAGCATTTTTCTTCCCCCGTGTGTTGGTTGTCAGCAGACAGAAGCAGTTTCTGGTGTTTCCACCGTTTCCTGAGCTGCTTCTCATCACGACTTCTCGTTTGTCCACAGAAAAACGGCACCCATGAAGGGGAGTTTGTTTTCCACACCGGCGAGCAGAACTACTTGGATTATGGGAAGATCGACACGTGGAATGGCCTGAGGTAACGTTTCACATCAGGAACCTTTGAGAACAAGGGAAACCTTTTTGCCCTTTTTCTTCTTTACATGATAACCACGTTTACTTTAGTTGCACAACCTGCATCCAAAAGTCCAAAAGAGAGCCTTTGCTCCCTGCTTTAGCCAGACCAGCATTGCAGAAGGAATATTTGGATAACCCAAGTGAGCCAAAGTACACCTCAGATGGTTGAAACTAGTATTCACATTTAAGTTTCCAAGTCATTTTATTTTTATGTGGTACCCAAGTTTCAAAAGCACACATGGGTGGGCCCGATCATTTTCCTCTCCACCATTCCGAGCATTAAAATCCCTCGCTTTCTTTCCATCAACAGGAAGATGTCGTGGTGGTCTTCCAACCAGAGCAACATGATCAACGGGACGGACGGCGCGGTCTTCCACCCCCTCATCAACAAGAACGAGCTGCTGTACATCTTTGCTGCGGACCTCTGCCGGTACACACGCGTGCTTTTCATCACTTTTGTTTGTAGTCGGGCGTTCTGGCCGAGGGAGGACGGAGACGTCCGGTGGGGTTTATGGTGGGAAGTACCAGCAGAGTCATTTACTCACCAATCCACTGATAAGGATGTGTGCTTGTGACAGCCTACGATAAGGCTGACAATCGCGTTAGAGCACGTGGGAGAGTTTGTGCTGCGCACACGGGGGTGATCAATCTGTGCAGGATACTTGTAGATTATTTGAGTCACAAATGCGTTTTACTGCTGCTAATGACTTCTTGCTGTTTTTCTCTCAGATCGATCCACCTGGGGTACGTGAAGGACGTGGAGGTGAAGGGAATCCAGGCTTACCGCTTCGCACCCCCCGCCGATGTCCTCATGAGCCCCGACAACAATCCCACCAACGCTGGCTTCTGCGTGCCAGCGGGGGAGTGCCTCGGCACCGGGGTGCTGAAAGTCAGCGTCTGCCGAGAAGGTACGACCTGTCCTCCGCCATTGTACCGCACCGCTTGACCCAGTTACCCATCACCCCTTTGATCAGCCTCATCGTGACGTACCTCCCGAACCGGGAGCGTGACCTCGTCCTCGGACATTCCTCGTGACTGAGCTTGTCAGATTTTTACTCAACAGCCGTTCAATGATTAACTGTCCCGACTGTGTTTGGAGGTCAGGAGGGTTGTTATGGAGGAGGTTGAGCTGAGTGAGATTATTAATCTCTGCTTCATTCATAAAAACGGGACGGCATCATTAGATTAATCCGTCTCTAGTCCTGCTATTTACATGTGTGCGCTTTTATTGTTGTTGTTGTTGTTATTTTGGTGTTTTAGCACAAATTTGTTTTTATTGTATGTTTTAAAGTCCGTGCTGGTTGGTTGATTTGACACTCCGACACTTACTTCCTGTGATTCATACGAAGAAACCTGCGTCTCATTGGTGGGAATGGTTGTGATGCTTCACTGACAGCCAATCAGCATGTTGCCATTCTGAAAGTGGGTGCGAGGAACGAGTTTCCGTCTGCTTGAGGAAGACTTCTTCCTGATTGTAGGAAAACCAATCGTTGTTGTATTTTCTAGCTATAAAAGCTTTAAAAGGAGAAGACTGAACCAGGCTGGTTTCGTGTCCATAACGAGTCACTCGTTGTTCTTTTTCAGGTCCAGATAGACGAAGCTCCTAAACACAAACATGCATTTACATAAAATGAGAAAATCAGGTGATCGTTGAACAACAACTTAGTTTTGCTCCATGCAAACTCTCCCGTGTGATCTCCAGCTTCTGAGCACACGTCCGTTCACAGGCTGGGCAACCTTTTGCTTCCCTGAGAGCTGACCCTTACTAGACTAAAACTGAGACTTCCAGCTGTTACAGCTGCAGAACGTTGGTTATTGGGTCAGGGTCACCAAAGCCAGGTGACGTCTGATGTTGTGAAAAGTTTCTGTTGAAGTGCTTTTTTTTCCTGAGATCTAACACGACCGATCCGTGGTCTAGATTAGTGGAAAGGTTTTATTTATTTCTGTAGCTGTAATCTGCACACTGTTTACTTAATGAATAAGATAATCCAGCATATCTTCTCCGTTGTTTATTTGAAGTTGTCTAGCTGTAAACATGCCGCTGACGTGATTTTGTCTCGTTTCTGTCCAGGGGCTCCCATCGTCGTGTCCTTTCCCCACTTTTATCAGGCGGACGAAGCGTACATCAACGCCGTTGACGGTCTTAACCCGCAGAAGGAGTACCATGAGACGTACCTGGACCTGCAGCCGGTACCACAAACTCTCCCAACCTCCCAGATTAGAACCAGAGCTAAACTTTGATCTGTTGTTCTCAACCAGCTGGTTCAGTTTGTTTGAACTCGCGTCGTCATTCTGAGTGAATTATTTACTTAAACTTGGTTAACAATGCAAGTTTTGGTCAAACCAAGCTGTTTACAGATCATTTACAACACTTGTAAGCAAAACAATAGAAGTATTCAGATAAATATAGAATAAAGTTCTGATTGTAAAAGGAAAGGATCTCTATCTTTCAGACCATGGGGGTTCCCATTCGTGCCTGCAAGAGAGCTCAGCTCAATGTCATTCTGAAGAGAGTCCCAGGCTTCCCGTAAGTCGGCTGAACTCCTCTCTCTGCGGTGAACGTTCAGCCAGATGTTCTCCCTAATATCTTCATTCCTCTCCTCCTCCTCCTCCAGAAAAACGAGGCACATCAATGAGACCATTTTCCCCATCATGTTCGTCAATGAGGTACGGCTCTCCTCTTTAGCACAGATCTTTTTATCCTGGCAACCATAAACAAGCTCAGACCGATCCTCTTCTCGCTCCCCGACCCCAGACAGCAACCATCGATGATGACTCGGCAGCACAGATGAGGACGATGATCCTACTCGTGACTCTTGTGTCAAACTTCCCCTTGCTCATCGTGGGAATGGGGATCATCCTGCTGCTGGTGCTCGTTGTTTTATTCTGTCGAAACCGCCAAAAGAAGGTAAGGAGCATCGCTTCCCTCTGCACTTCAGAAATAATCCCCAGCTGCTGAGTTTTAGCCGCTCTTACACGAGTTTGTAACTTACAAGTAGCAGCAGGTTGTATTAGTTAACGGGGTTTTGCGTGTTAACTGTACCGAGCTGCTGCAAGTTTAACCCAAAGCCGAGCACATGCTGACTAACACAGCGCATGATGCCAGCATGAGCGGTGTCCCTTCATTCTGCATCAAATAGTTCCTCTTATTTAGCTGTTTTGATGTTTTCTAACTGAACTGTTTCATCAGCCACGGAGAGGAGGGGCCTGAGCTGGTTTATCGTGGGGTTGTTGAACGTGATCTCCTCTAGTCTAAAATCCGTGTCCTCGCTGCTCCGGGATCCCAGTACCCGCGGTTATTCACGCTGTGAAGGGAAATGCATTAAAAATATAGTTGAGGTGTTTTGCTGGTAGTGACGTTATCAGACTGAAGAACCAGGAAGTTGGTATGTAAGAGACAGGGAACGCCGTGGTTCAGCGTTTTATTGGGAGTTAAAAATCAAAGTCGTACCACAAGATAAAATCTTAGCACCACTTTTGGATTTCATGATGGGGCCAGCTTTATTTCCTGTCTCTGGGCTCTTTGTGCTAAGCTAGGCTAACTGTGGGGAAATGCTTGAAACAGGCTTAATTGCAATATGAAATGTATTAACCATGTTCTGAATTAAATTTTTCTGTTTATCCCTTTTGTCCCTTTTCTGTTTTAGAATGAAGTAAAACGTATTGATTTTACTGAAGCTTTTCATTCTTTTACTGTAAGTCTTCAGTTTTGCCTTGTTTAATTTTTATTTGTTACCATTTCTCCGTTTTATCATTTAGTTTTCATGCTTCATGAAATTATTTTGCTTTTATTGTAATTTTATCCTTTTATGTTAGTTTTGTGGTGGATTTTCTGTCATAATTGGAGCACATATCTAAAGTTTTGTGGCTCACTGTGGACATTTCAGTCAATACATTAACTCACATTTGAATGTCGGTGTAGATTTAAGAATATATTCATTTTCTACTTGTTTTGATGCTTTGTCTCGTTAACCTTTCCCGCTCAGACGGCGAAAGACGACACGGCGTACACGCAGGTCAGCGACAAACCAGACGATTCCTCGGAAAAGCCGGCCAGCCAGCCGACGAAGAACGGCTCCTACATCGCCATGTCTCCAGTGGAGGCCCAGAAGTGTTGATTGATTGATCCCCTTCCTCCACGCGTCAGGAAACCAGGAAGGGGGCTGAGGGAGCTGCACGGGGGTGTTACAATTCCACGAGTGGGAAGGACAGGGAAAACGGTGGGACACCCCAGTGATTAGTCAACAAAGACATTGATCCACTTACCGAGCCCTCTTCTGTCCATTCTCCTCCACTCTACCTGCTGAGCATGGCCGTCACTGCCTGCAGATCTGCAACACAACCAAACCTCCAGAGTCCAAAACATAAAGTCACCTCTGTTCTTGTCGGCTAAGAGCAAAAAGGGGACGTTGGGGGGGCTCGGCAATGAAAAAGCCTTCTCCGTAATTCTTCTGAGGGAACAAACTAGCATAGATGCTGCTGTTGCACACAGCTGCGTGGTCCGAGAGGACTCGCCAACAACGGGTGTTTTTATTCTGGTTTGGGCTGATGGGAAGTGGGAGACATCTTCGAGCCTTCAGACCAACAGTCCCATGTAAAGTAAACCTTTAGGACAAAAATCACAGCTTCTGAGCTCAAAGGGTTTTGCTAATAAAAGAACAAACTTCGTATATTTTGTAAAGGAAAACTACAAACTGAGCCACACCAAAAGGTTTTGCCTTTCTTCCTTAAGGATGAGTCGGTGCACCCAGACACAACACATGTTGCACTTCTAGTGTGAGTCGGTGAAAGTGCACGTTTGCCTTCTATCTCACGTGTCCGTGATGGACAGCTGTTGTGTTTCCTGACTTCTCTGTTCGTGCCCTAACCCGTCCCCTGAAACACTAGCCGAGAAATGGAATTATTAAGATTAATGAAGCATTTTATTAACATGGGCTAGATGTAAAACTATTAGGAAACCTTCACATTTAAACAAGATCACAAACTTATTGAAAAAAAGAAGCACCCATGAAACTTACAAGGGAGACTTGAACCTGCTGTTGCCTTACTGTGGTTCAGCCTCTTCTACGTTCATACACTGTTAAAATAAGCTGGGAATACTTTATTGTACATATGTAACGGGGAACCCTCCGGACCTCTGATCCGGTCCAGCTGCCGGTCCCGGGTGTGCTGAAAGACACTAACTTCGTTCTGTTGTTGACGCCCACGAACGTCTACACGGTTATTAGAAAAAGCACAACTTGGGTGGGTAGAAGCGGTCTTCAAACAAGACCACCATCTTTTTGTTTTGTTTTTTGTCGTCCCCCCCCCCCCAAAAAAAAGTTGTTTTTACAGCTGATGTGTCGAAGACGCTGTCGGGTCGCAGTCATCAGTGCGGTCGGAGCCCAGTGTGTCACTGTGCCGTCGACCAGTTTGCCAAGGAGCTGCAGGAGTCTAGACACCCGACATCTCAGCCGCTGTTTGTGTTTCCTGTTCCTCTGTTTGCTGCATTAATCTCGTCTCGTGTGAGACACACTGGATGTTGCCAGTTGGGTGCAAATTTAAGACCGTAATGGTGTCGGTCTGAAAAATTGCCTGCACTTTGCCAGGAAATGGTGCCACTGTCGTCTCTGTTGGATTGTTTAGTCCTGGTTGTTTCAATGCAAGTGGACCGTGTGTTCAGGTCATTTCAACGGTTAATCCCGGGTGGTGTTGTTTCTGGCTGGGTGTCGGAGAGCAACAGACATCCAGCAGCTTTCCAACACATGTTGTCTTCTTTTGATATCCTTTTGTATGTTATTGCTGCTAAAATTGCCATAACCTATGGACTTGTATTTGTATTTGTGGTATTTACCATAACGTGCTCTGGTTTGGGTTTTGGGTTGATCAACGGGAGCTCTGACATCTCGAAAGCTTCCCGTCGACCTTTTTGAGCACAAGATACAAAGCCCAAAGCTTGCTGCCATCTATCAGTTAGCAGTTAGAGGCTTCACTAAAGACATGTACACTCTCAAAGCACTCTAATCATATCACATGTATTGTTTGTTTTTTATTCTGGAGTTGCTAAACTTCTGCGGAGGTGCCCAAAAGGGTCGAGCCATTAAAATATCTGAGACTGGCGTTCTGATTCTGGGTCGTAGTGGTAGGGAGTCCTTCAGTTATTAGCTTTGTGGGGTAAATTTGGATATCCTAATTAATAATTCTGTCATCCAACACTGCTTGGATTAACACAAATCCTGCTTCTGGTGCAGAATGAAAGACTACGGGCACCAAAAAGACTCCAGTTAATTTCTGGTGTCATTTCTATTCTCTGGGCTGAACCTTTCACCCTGAGGCACGAAGCAAATCGTCTTTATCCCCAGTGGAAACAACTCCCTGAACTCTTGTATTCTGCCTCGATGCTTGCAGCTACCACCTCGTGCAAACGTGTTTCAGTCATTCGCCTCATTGGAAACCTTGAAAGACCTTTTGATCCAGAGTTGCTTTTATGTCGCCCTGTTCAAACATGCACACCTGAGCCACCCCCGCTCTGCACTCCACTATGCTGACCCAAGCTCAGTCCTCCAAGCTCATTGGCTCGTCACTGCTCGACCAAAGATTACCCATATAGATCTGTCTGGGCACTGTTTACTTTGTGCGATAACAACTGTGCCACGATACCACCGCCGCCTAACTGAGAAGTAAAGAGGGGGAAAGTTGTGCCACCACTTGTGTGTGTGTGTGTGTGTGTGTGTGTGTGCCTTTAGATCAAGGCAGAAATGGATGGGTATTGCTTTTTTCACTCTGCGCAAACGGAGTGTGATGCTCGCTGAGCACATAAAAATCTCAGTATTATAAGACAAAGCAATACAAGTTGTGCAAATCAAATTGTGGACGATGTTTTTCAAGAGGCCACGTGATATTTGATTTAGGCGTTTTTCTGCGGGTCGTTTTAGTTTCACTGATGTTGGAGAACTTTATTTCAGTGGTAATTTAGGTTATTTTTCATTTTATTTTGTCCGCTTGAGTTCAAGCTCATTTCATTCATCGTTTCAACACTTTAACACTGAAAATACAGAAAAAGTGTAAAAGATGGACCAGTTTTTGACACTGGGAATGGAGTTGTACAGTGTGTAAAAGTGTTTGAGTGGTCCAAATTTGTATTCAAGTGAGAATTTGTATTTGTGGGGAAATGCACCATTCCTGTCGAACTGGAGTGATTCTGGGGAAGGCTGATGATCTTGAATGAAGTGTTGATGCTGTTTAACGTATCTAGATGAATGAAGCCCTCCTTCAGCTGTGAGCACTAGTGCCATGCCACCTTTTTTCTTTATTTATTTTTTAATTTGCTCTTCGTAACAGCCGCATCCTCCCTTTTCAATCTCCTGCAAGACATTTCCTTTGAGATTTACTACCGGTAGTTTGTTTTGCTGCTGAAAATGACAATCCTTGTCATGTTAGGTGCAAAATGATTTCAAAGTAATACCATTTTAGTTTTGATAATTTCCAGTGCACAGATGTTTATACAGTGCTTTTGTAAACATTTCTAGTGTATTTGCAAAAAATAAAATTTGCTATTAAGTGCAAAGTTTGGTGTTCTGTCTTCATTTAGACGGCAACATCAGAGCCGGACGGATGGAAGAAGCTTCAGCATCCATCTGTCCTTTCTGCAAATATCTTGTTTGAATGTTTTTTTCTGTAATCGATGAGAAATAACTACATGCTAGGGCTGCACGATATTAGGAAAACCTGCAGTATGCGATAACGGTGATTGATATTGCGATGACAATATTACTTATAAATAAAAACAACTTGGTAACAAAAAATAAACAAAAACAAAGAAAAGAAAAATGATAAAAATGTGGGGAAATGGAAAAAGAAAATGAACCAGAAAAGTAGATCAGTGGATCCCGGGAAAAGCAGAACAAAGCTAACTCAGGTGTTTGCTAACCTCAGGGGCGGACATCTAACCTAGGGGCAGCAGGTTGTGCGGGTTGTTCAGTAATTGGGAAGGTTGCAGGTTCGATCCCGGCTCCAGACAGAGTTGTGTAAGCAAGGCACTTAACCCACCTTGCCTGCTGGTGGTGGTCGGAGGGACCGGTGGCGCCTGTGCTCGGTAGCCTCGCCTCTGTCAGTGTGCCCCAGGACAGCTGTGGCTACATCGTAGCTCATCCCCACCATTGTGTGAATGTGTGAATGATACACTGTAGTGTAAAGCACTTTGGAGTCCTTACTCTGAGAGGCGCTACACAAGTGCGGGTCATTTATCATCTAACCAATGAGAACCCACCCAATGGGTGAAGAGCTCCATTTGATTAGTTAAAAAAACACAAAACTCCCGTTTGACAGAATGCGTTATGTGTAGGAAACACTCGAGCTGACCATTACCAGATGGGTTTATACGGCATGCTGATGTCGCCATGACGATGTCTTTGCGCTATATCGTGCAGCCCTACTACATGCTAGATAATTATTATTTTATTTAATCATTGTGTCATAACTGAAGAAATGATTCATTTTTAAAAGTTATGAAGAATCTAACCAGTTACCTGTGAAATAAGACTTTCTTTTAAAAAAACACCATAAAGTCATTTATAACTGGATAATTTTTGTGTTTTTTAGTTCATGAATAAGTAGAAACTGGTTTTCCAAACAGACCAGTCCTCCGATCACCTTGGGTTGTTTGATGAAATATGTTTGCTTTCAAAAGAGCAAGTCCTTTCCAAACTCAGGGATAAACTCTTGCAATAATATAGTGAAAAGTCATGAGTCTGGCTTTTTGCCACGGTTTTGAATGTAAATCCCAATGGAACAAGTCCAGGCAGACTTCCAAGGAAAAGATCAGGTCACGCGATGCTTTTCATATTAAATGGTTTGAGAGATAAACCCAGAACTCTGCGAGGACTCGATGTGTACGCAGCAGGAGCCTTGTTTTTGTTACGTTGCCTTTTAGCCTCGGGAACTTCTCTCTTTGAGGCCTTCAGAGTCTCACTCACACTTTCTGCGTCAAGGTGATGGTTTCAGGGTCTGCAGGCGTCAGCATGTACGCACTCGCTCGGCCCTTCACTTTTCACATTAACCATCAGTTACTCAGTGTTTTGACTCTTGACCGGCCTTCCACAGAGGACTGGTTCGTTTAGGTTGCAGCATCTAGTGGGATTTCTTCTCTTTTCTGTATAAATGTGACCCAAAAATCCAAACTAATAGGATTTTTTATACCTAGAAGACGAGTGAGGTCTCACCAGGTGAGAGGCGGGCCATGGGGGACCTCCTGGACAGGTCTCCAGTCCACCAAAGATGAACACCCAGTCACACACCTAATGTACTTAGTGTGAAATGGACATCTGCACACACTGAAATACGATGAGCTCACAGCGTCGCAGTCTCAGCGTGTTTGAGAACAGTTCAGGACAAAACCATCTCTTAACATTAACGTACACCCAGGGGACAAACTGTCACCTGTGACCACAGGTGATGTTTTCCCACACTCCGTTTGACAAAAGTTTCATTCAGATGTGTTCATTAGGACAAAACTCCTGCTGCTGTTGAGACCACCTGCAGACGGTCAGTAATACGCTTATAGCTGCACTTGTTTTGACCCAATTTTCAATTAATGTGAAGTTACATTAACTGTACATTAATGCCACAGTTTAGCACATACCAGCCTCTGTATATTTTATATCTCTTATCTTATTGTTTACTTTATTCATTTGTATACTTAGATTAGCCATTTTTATATTTTGCTTGTTTTTACATTACTGTATTTTTGCACAACTCTGTTGCTGTGAAGCTCGCACACAAGAATTTCACTCGCATGTACTGTACCAGTGTACCTGCACATGTGACGTGACAATAAAAGTGATTTGATTTTGTTATGCCTGGAAGGAGGAAATGGAGACCAGCTGGACTTAATCCTGGGGAAAGGATCACTGTGCACAAGTTTTTTTCTTTTAAAAATATCACATTTAGTATTTTTAATCTGCTCATATACACACATGTACGTAAAGGCTAAAGACGTGTTGCTCTTTTAACATTGTTTTGTATTTTCAAGAGTTGAATCAAACCTAATAGTGTGAATACTCGTGGAGTCGTTCCTGTCTGCAGTTAAAATAGCTGCATTACTTTCTTATGTTCAAACCTTGCCCCAAATTTTCTAAGTTTGCTAATTCTGTGTGTTACAGCCGTGCATGACATCCTAATATTTTCTTTGCATTTGATTACAAAACCTGTAAATTCAAAGCATCTTACAAACACTAAAAACCTTCCTGATCCTTTATTTCCACCCAGACAACACGGTGACCTGATGTTACTGACCTATTTCCTCATGAGATGCATAAATAAAGTTGTCCTGTGCTCAGTATTGTCTGCCTCAGTTTGGATCAGAAACTGAAACCTGAGATGTTATAAGATGAGCTGTTTATGAGTTGAACAGCTGTTTTAAGTATAAATCCATCTTTAATTGATCTGCTTTTAATTATCTACGCTGATTAAGTGCTGGTGGGTGTTTTTAGCATGGTTTTTGCACAGAGCAGAGCGAACTGCCCCCATGTTCCCCAGCATTTAGATAAGCAAATGAAAAGGTTAAATCTCATTACGCTGAGCATTATTGTCAAGTTATCTCCTACAAATGTTAAAGTATTCTTGCAGTAAGTATTTAACCAGTGACACTCCTCATCCAGTTCCAGAGTAAACACCAGATCAGGACATGCTGCAGTTTTCCAGGTTGCTCTGACGGCAGGCAGCTTTGATGGTGTCAGATTTTGAAATCCAGTCATATGAGTGGATGATCGGGTTTCTGGACTTTAAAATGTCATCAGCTGCAGCTCAAAGTAACAGATTTGGTGTATCTGGTCCAAACTGCTTGTTTTAGTGACAATCATTTATACATTTTCTCTTATCTCTTGATTGCTGAAGTCGTTAATCACTCATCAGAGATCCACCAGAGTTGATTTATGTGGAAAAGTTCAAACAGCAAAACCGCTGCTCCTCCTGCTGGTCAATTAAAGCAACAACACGTCAACAGCATAGATTAAAAAAAACTGCAAACAAAAACAAAAAAACTTTTTACATGAGATGTCTGGAGCCAAAATACGCGAATCATTTTAAAACATTTCAAAAATTCTATTTTGTTCTAATAAATATGTGTCATATTTTACTGTACCAGGAACTTTAAATCCTCCTAAATGCTGCACATGTTTCCTGAACTAACCCACGGGCATTAACTAAATCAGCTCACACTCATTGATAAAATAATTTCTAGGGAATGTACCAGCAATTTATGTATTTACACTATTTGTAGTTTTTCTGGCGTTTGTGGCAGAAATCTGGCAATTAAATTTACACCAGACATGTTTTACAAAGATTTAGGAGCTGCAGGCAGTTGAGTAGGTATAAATAGAGAGCATGCGTTTGCAGGGGTAAAAAAGATCAAACAAGATTCAGACTTGATGTGTGGAGAAAAACCAATGTTAATAATACAAGTAAATCATTTATTTAAGTTATTTAAAAAATAAAACATAACAGAGCAACAAAAATAAGGCTTTCCCACCCGGTTACTAATGTTTGTATCTGCACTGTAGTTTTTGCAGTACCTTGAACCATAGATGAATATAATCTGAAAATATGCAGCAAATGTAATTAGTCATGTTAGAAAACAAACTCAAGATCTTTAAGACGCTTTCTTAAACACTAAAAAATCATTTTATTTCTGACAAAATGTACCACACGCATATTCACACAATGATAATTTTAAAGTTCAAATCAATATTTCTTAAGTTTTCTAAAAGCTCTTTTTTAACAAGATTTTTGTTTTTTACTTAAAAATTAATTTCAGACCTAAAATCATGAGCATGGGCGTCATTCACGCGGGGTACGCGTGGGACATGTCCCCCTCACTTCCCATAACAGTGCCCTCTGTCCCCCGCATTTCTTTTTCAGCCGTTTTATCCGTTTATATGGGGAAACGTATTTTTCCGAGCCGTCTTTAAACGCATCTTAGGCTAACGCTAGCATCCAGTGCCGACAGGTGCCGACAGGTGCTGCTGAGAGAACAGAGGAGCAGCACAATGTTCAGCAAACCGGCCAGAGACAGCAAAAGGCAAAAAAACAACCTTTGCACAGTTTTTTCCAACCAAACTGTGTAAGTTGAGTTATGCTTTGCGTGCAGATAATGTTAGCTAAATGATAGCTAGGTAGCCTAGCAGCCAACATCATGTAGTTAGCAATGTTGTGTGTCTCCTTTGCTAGTTAGTCCTTGCTGGGAATAAACCCAAGTCTGTTTTATTTCTGTGCTGAACTGGAGCTCACCGTGACTTTCCGCATGTTTGAAAGAAAAATATTGTCACGATAAACAGGAGAACCAGGGAGGGTCTGTAGGTACAACGGGAATAGGATAAGTGGATGAGAAATAATGGCGTAAAGGGACTTTCACTGTAACCCATCCTAGTTTTATTTTAACACTTTGCTTTCTACGTTTTCCATTTATCTGTCTTTTGGCCACACAGACAGAGCAGTGAGAGAGAGTCTGTAGGTGAAAAGATAACGAGAAACATGGCATCAAGAGATTTGAGGTTAATGTCCATAGTAATGTTACTGGTGTTTGTCCTAACTCTGTTCCAGTATTTATTTTCCACCTTTACCCATAAAGCCACAGCAGAATGAGCAGCCAGGGAGGAGCCATCAGACCAGAGGACAGCATCAGGGATGTGATGAGGGTCTCCACGGGTTAGGAGAGATGAGAACTTGGTTAGAGAGACCAGGCAGGCCGTAGGAGAGGGTTTTCAAAGATCTTTCAGAATTATTCTCATTAACACTTAAACTGTTTTTACTCTGTAATTTTGTAGGTAGCCCAGGAAGAGTACACATTTTTATTTGTTTATTATTTATTTACAGGTATAATTTGACTACTGCATTATTTCTATCATCTATCATTTTTATCATGCCATTTTTCTTTATCGTGATTATTTTTGCACACATGCTGTCACATTTCACTACAATGTTGTGTTCAGTGTTGTGTGACTTTCTATGTTAATGCATTATATATTATATGGCTTATTTTGCAGCACTCGTTAAATTTTATGTGCTAGGCAATAATTTATTTCAGCACTGTTGTTTTGCTGAGCGTTTTCTACTCCGTGTTGTGGTTTGGCCTTAAAGGTCTTCATGGATCATTGTTTTCAACTGGACCGGAGTTTGGCGGCTAAAATGAACATTTGTATTATTTATAGTTTAAAGATTTAAAGCTGGTTCACTGGTGCTGTGCGGCTGTTATTAATGTTGGGTGTTCAAGAATCTTTTTTTTATTTTTGGAAAAAATTGTTCACTACTATTTAAACTATCATTTGTTCACGCTAAGCAGGTGGCGCCCTGTAACTTTAAAATTAAACATTAGTAATAATCATCACTGTCTTTGAACCACTTCACTAATAACTAAACCAGCAATTAAATGTTTTTATCTACTAAGAAATGTAAGATTGAATGTGAGAAGATGATAAATAAATGGAAAAAAATGTCCCCCTCACTTCTGAGATGATGGTTACGCCCCTGATCATGAGTAATCGAAGTGAAGCTTCCCCAGAAATAAGAAGGGACCTTAGTGCTGAGAGGTGAAATAACTGTAATGGTGATTATGACAATCAAAAAATAATATCAGTGCACAAAAACATAAATCAATGATTCAGGCTTATAAGGCATCAGCAGCAGTTACAGTTCAGCACAAACGTTTTATCCATCCCTCGTTTCTGCATTGTTTCCCCTTTCAAAGATCCAAATCTTTTATAGAACTTTGTCTCGTTTGAATTTTCAGGGAATTTGCTGTTTACTCCAGTCTGTGCCGACCGAAGGACGACACATCTCTGAGGTGACGACACGACGACTGGACAGGAAATGAGTCAAAATGCAGCTGAATGCAGTCTGTAAGTCTGATCAAGACCCCGTTAGAAAATTACTAAATACTCCGCCTCCTTGAAAGATTTTACATAAATGTTGGGCAACAAAAGAATTTAGCAAAATGCTGTTGAGTGAGTGAGTGAGTGAGTGAGTGAGTGAGTGAGTGAGTAAATAGGTGACGTTTGTAGAACACAGCAGCAGACGCCACGCTCTGATCGGGTTAGTGAGAAAGCGATAAATGAAGTGCGGGTTGGTTTAAACACGAGTCTTATTCAGACAACACAGATCCAAATGTTGACGCATTTATTATAAGATCACTTGTTGGAATATAATCTAATCATGGTGTTTGCATGGGTCTGACGCAGTCTTCTTCATTCCCTTCTTCTCTGCTTGTCTGAGTAATGGTGTTACTGCAGCGTTGTTGTTGTTGTTGTTGTTTTTGCTGCATCAGAAACGAGCAATGCAGTCTTGGAAAACGAGTCCAAATCAAACAACTCAGTTGTTCAGAAAGAAGCTTGAACATCTGAGCAAAAGGCAAAAGTCTGTTTCCTAATGAGTTTTATATCTTTTAAACAGAGGAAAAGTGATTTAAGGCCTTAAAATTTACTTTAACATTTGGAAAAGTGAAAATGAGAAATTAGTTTAGCTTTTATTTGTTTATCTGCGATTTTGATGATTGAATTTGTTGAATAAATGCGCTCCTATCCTGGTTTGATGATACTTTGAGTCAACATGCTAAACATATTTTCTTATTAAAAGCATGATGTTATCTGTAAAATTCATCTGAAATTTCAATATTATTATTCTACCTAAAACTTAATTTTATAATCCAAATATGATGGATTTAGTTTTTTAATTCTCTTATTCATTCTTCCTCTGTGAGCCTCACGTTGTGAGGTCAGTCGTTGCGGTCAAACCCCATGACCTCTGACCTCTACATAATCCCCTCTGATCTACGCAGCTGTTGCCCAGCAGCTTTCTGCGTCTTCGTGTGCGTCATCAGAGCAGCTTGTGTTGGCCGCAGCTCCACCTCCAGCCCCCCGGCTGCCTGCCAACAACGTCTGCTTCTCAGATGCTGGGGTCACCCTCCAGCTTCGTGAGGTCCGTCACGGTGCCCATGAACATGCTCCGTCCTCGCTCCAGTCGGCTCTTCTTGTCTGTTAGTCGGAACGCCTCCATGAACTCATCAATGTCGATGCTCCCATCGTTGTTGCTGTCGATGGTGACGGCCAGGTGGGAGATGTCCTCGTCCGTGATCTCCATCTTTAGGTAGACGCTCAGGAGCTTCCACGTCTGCCTGAAGTCCTCCACCGTGATGAAGCCTGATGAAGTAAAGGAGATTAAAGGTGAAGACACTGATGAAGAGGAAAGCGTGGTGTTGTGTCCGGGCTTTAGATCACAAGCGAGGGATGGAGGAGTAGATCAGTGGGTTAATCCAAGAGCTGGTAACCTCTTTCACACGCTGCTGGTGGATTATCGGGGGCCTGAGAGACGTCGTTTAAATACAAAACAGAGACATAAAACGCTAAATCTTCACCAAGCCCTTGGTTTGTTAAATCATTTATCTCCAGATGTAATGCGGGTTCACCAGAATTTAAAATAAAGTCTAAATATTAAAAATGGCTCCTTCTAATAAAAAGTACCTGAGTTGTCCGTGTCTATAATCCTGAAGATGGTCTCCAGAGTGGAGCGATGCCGGTACAAGGTTTCCAACAGACTCTGGTCGATGTGCTGCAGAAACAGAAGCTGTTGGTCTTTGCATCAGTGTCCAAAAATCATAAATCACCTTTATGTCTTTAGAAACTGCTTCCAACAAGTTTAATGCTTTTATTCATTCATTCATTCATTAAATGTGCTTCTTGGAGAGGAGAAACACGGTTTTGGTTTGTTCGCCTGAATCTCACCAAAAGAAAGGCACAAGCGACTAACTGGTGTTGCTTAATGCAAACAACTTTACAAAATCTAAATAAAAAAGCATTTTTGAGAGAATTAAATAATTGCAAAAACACAATCATACAATAATTTGACTGATTTCTTAGCATCAATAAGCTGATTTCCAAAAAAACTGGACAATTGGAGATCACTAGGAGCACCGGGAGGCCCTAAAAGCCTGGGAACAGCGTCTACTGGAAGACACGTACAGTAATAATAATAAGTTTGGTGGAAAAACATCAGACACTAACAAAAAGCTGTATAACTTTCCATCATTGATTCATATATCAAATGGCTTTAATATTCTTGAGTATTTAATGTGTCACCGGTCAGAGTCCTTACATCTGCTGCATTGGGCCCTTTAAAGGCGAGCTCGTTGAACCAGTCGTTGTAGTCGATGGTGCCGTCGCTGCTCTTGCAGGAGACCAGCTGAGAGCAGAGCATCCTCCAGGGCAGATCCAGGTGCATGACGCTCTCCACCGCTGAGGCCCAGTCATTTAGTGACACCAAACCTAACAGCGGTCAAAGACAGACCAAGGTTTTAGTTTTTATCCTCATCGGAGCATTTTGATTTTGCTGACCTCTGCTTGTTGAATTGGTTGGTCTAAAGGGACTGAAACGATGATAGGGTTAGGGTTACAGGACGGCTTGTCCAAAAGAAATCAAGCCCTCAAACTTTTTCTAGCTGAAGTTTCTGTGAACCTGAAGTGTTTTCAACTAAATCTGAACAGGTGTTATGAAGCTGAACAAAGGACACAAAGCACCTGAGCTCAGATTTCACTTTTCAGGCGTCCAACAAAATTTCACACCTGATTTCGTGAGGACTGAACTGGTTCTTGAAACACACACCTGTGGCCTCTTTGTCGAACTTCTTAAAGGCACAGATGAGGTCGGACTTGTGTGCAAACAGCTGCTCCCGCAGGACTTTCAAGGCCGAGCGCTCGGTTCGTCCAACGCTGCAGATTACAGGAAGCAGACAAAAATACGGAAATGTTTGTGCTCACACACGGCCAGTACTCTAATCGTACGCAACATATAATGGGAGGTTTTAACTGAAACCTGGACAAACGATGGGCTGCAGTTGTTAATGCTCAACAGTCAGAATATAACAGCAATATTTGGGATTATTTAACCTGTAAATAGAAAAAAATCAAAAGTTAGTTTTTCTAATTAAAACTTTCAACATGTCCTTCGTGCATTTATAAATGTCATAGTTCTCAACTCAGTATTTAGTTAGTAAGATAAATATTTGATAGAAGAATATTTATTTTACAATATTACAAATATTTTATTTATAAACAAAAAATTTTGGTCAGACTAAAATTTTTATTTTCCAAACTAAATATTTGATTTGCAGACTTAATATTTTTGCTCGCATCTAAATAATTAGTTTGGAGCTGAATATTTAGCTTGTAAACTAAATATTAAACCTGTAAATTGAGGTCCAACGTAAATATGTTGTTTGTAAAATAAACATGTAGCTTAAAATTAAATAGTGTCAAGAAGTTTATCCCAAGTAGCTGTTTTGTGACTAGTCCATGACTTTGCCACATCAAGGCTGCAGTTCGTGGAATTAAAATCAAAGTTAATAAATCCAATCAATAAACTGACCAAGTATTAAACAGAAACCTGGTAAAAAAAATAAAAAGATAAGTCAGTTTGCAATAATAAGGCCTTTACAGATATTGTTCAGGAGTGTAAATATACATTTAAATAAAATTCAGTACCAGGCTGCCCGCAGATGTGCCTGGCTGTAATCAGTTCTACAAAAGAGGCATATTGGCAGATGCAGTTATGCAAAGGAAATAAGTTAAATATCGTCCGCCTCATAGGTCAGTCATAGTATGAATGAATGACTGAAATATGAACCCCCATTTTTATCCATACATCCATCCATTTTCATCCGCTTATCTGGAGTCGAGTCGCCGGGGCAGTAGCCTTATCAGAGAGGCCCAGACTTCCCTCTCCCCAGCCACTTGGGCCAGCTCCTCCGGGGGAATCCCAAGGCGTTCCCTGGCCAGGTGAGAGACATAGTCCGTCCCCCGTGTCCTGGGTCTACCTTTAGGTCTCCTCCCGGCTGGACGTGCCCGGAAAACCTCACCAGGGAGGCGTCCAGGAGGCATCCTGACCAGATGCCCAAGCCAGCTCAACTGGCTCCTCTCGATGTGGAGGAGCAGCGGGTCTACTCCAAGCCCCTCCCGGATGACCGAGCTTCTCACCCTATCTCTAAGGGAGAGCCCAGCCACTCTGCGGAGAAAACTCATTTCGGCCGCTCGTATCTGCGATCTCGTTCTTTCGGTCACTACCCAAAGCTCATGACCATAGGTGAGGGTAGGAACGTAGATCCACCGGTAAATTGAGAGCTTCACCTTCTGACTCAGCTCTCTCTTCACCACGACAGACCGGTACAACGCCTGCATCCGCCTATTGATCTCACTGCCCCCGATGTCCACGTGATGTTGCAATATTTTTTTTATGACAAGCTAAATGACCAAAATGTTGCTGTTGAATTCTGACTAACTCCACAAAAGACACATTTCTTTTTAAACACAAGCATTTTGATTTTAAATCTTTACACCATAAACGTGTACCTTTGCCTGGCTGTGAGCTCCCGGGTCAAGCTGCTGGCCTGGTACTGAATCACATAAGGCACAAGGTCTGGACCCAACTTCACGTAGGCCCCCCGGTTGCTTCCCACATCATAATAATTGGAGGCTGAGAACAGAGTGAGAACCTGGACACAGTTTATAAAAGAGACACAAACTTTTTAGTAAAGTTGAAACGGTCCTGAAGACCTGGCGGACTGAGGAGCTCACCTTGCGGTTGTGGCAGAACTCGTAACCCTCCTGTTTGCACTCGTGGGAACGGATGATGAGCTGCATGTTGTGTTTGTTCAGGAAGTCCTCGGTGATGTCGGGGCCCCAGTAACAGCCTCCACCCCTCACCTCGTTGGGTATGCAGCCGTCCTGACTCATCGGGTCGCTCCACAGCAGGTCCAGAATCTGGAATAAAAAAAAAAACAATATGAAGGGC